GGGAATCGCTAAGCTCGATTGTTAATGGAGGATCGGACCTGTGGTGCTGCAGCTCCCTCTGGTCGGGTACGGGCTCCGCACGATCGCCTGCATTCGATCAAAGGGCAAGGAGATGAGTAAAGCGCTCGAGCGGCGCGAGAGCGTCGGCGTCGTGCTGGCCACGATCGCCTTGCGCTTTTTCACCCACGCCTTCTCCACCCGCTCGTCCGACTGGAACATGCCCGCGATCCCGTCCAGCACGACGCCGACGCTCTCGCGCCGCTCGAGCGCTTTACTCATCTCCTTGCCCTTTGCGGGAATGTAGCCGATCGTGCGGAGCACGTACCCGACCAGAGGGATCTGCAGCACCACCGGCGCGGTCGTCCAGTGACACAGCGCGCCGCCCAGCCGCGACCAGAGCGGGTAGCAAGTGATGCCCAGCGGCGCGGCGCCGTGCGGGATCGCGGCAAAGATGCAGTGCTGGCTGCCGCGGATCTGTTCAAACGAGGCCGGCCACACGACGCGCATCGAGAGGTACTTCTGGTTGTTCCGCTCGGTGAAGACGTACCAGCCCGCTGACGCTCTGCGGACGGCGAGACGAGGTTCTGGGCATATGAGCCGACGCCGAGGGCGACCGCCAGCACGAGCAGCCCAATCCAGCCGTAGAGCCCGCCGGCGCACAGCGGGAGCACGAACGGAAGCCAGTTCAGCGTGAGGTAGAGCGGGATGTTGATGATCCGCTCGAGGTGTGGGCCGAGCGCGAGCGGCGACACGGCGCTCAGCGAGCCGGCAGCGAAGCCGCCGGGCCCAACCTTTTGCGCCCGATCGAACCACTTCTCGTCTGGGACGGCGTCGTCATAGAGCTCGTCCGGGAGCGCCGCCAGATCGAGGCTGAAGAAGGCCATTTCGGCAAGGCAAAGGGTCCCAAGGTCGGGCTTGAGGATGAGATCGAGCGGCTTGTCGCCGGCGCTGCTGCCGACTAGCAACTTCGTTTTTTTTCTTTAGAACGTGCCAGTGTGCTGTGATAGAGGCTTGTACCTAGAATTCTTTAGAACTCGGCCATCGAGGGATGGGAGGACGGCACGCCGCCACCACACAGGGATTTTGAGGAGAGGTGTGTGATGCGCTAGCCGTTGCCCACCCTCAACCCTGCCGATGACGTTCCCGACGAATGGGGCGCTGGCGGTGGCGACGGCGGCCCGACCGAGTCGAAGCTCGTCCCGCTCTCGATGCAAAGCAACGAGGCGCTCCTCATCAAGACGCTGCTGGCGCGGAGCTGCCCGAGCGCAAGGCTGAGCCGCGTGCAGCGCCAAGGGCGGCTTTTACGGCCAGGGCATCTACCTCGCGGAGGACCCGTCCTACCCGATCGGCGGCCGGTATGCGCACCGCGTCTCCGGCTCGGGCGGGAGTCGCGTGCAGCTGCTCATCGTGAAGGCCGCCCTCGGCTCGCAGCAAGAGATGGGGCAGCAGATTAGCGCGGAGACGAGGGCGATGCGCATGCGGACGTGCGCGTCGAGGGCCCTCCCCGACTCCTCTACGACAGCGTGCGCGGCGGGCCGCACCGCCCCTTCCTCTCCGGCGGAGGCGAGAACGGGTGCGACGCCTCCATCGTGCACGTGGTGTACGAGTCGCGCCAGATGTACCCGGCGTACGTGATCGAGGTCGAGATGGAGATGGGGGCCGAGGTGGTGGCGGCCGTGCGCAAGAACTCGGCGGAGGGGAGTGCGAGCGCCGGCCCGGCACCCAAGCGGCAGCGCCACGCTGCGCCGAGCGGCGGCGGCGGCGGCGGCGGCGGCGGCGGCTCCAGCGGCGGCGGCTCCAGCGGCGGCGGCTCCAGCCATTCTGCTGCTTATGTCCCCGCTGCTGCGCCACCGAGCGTTGCGGAGGTGCGGGCGATGGGCGTGGCGGCGGCGGTGGCGGCGCTGCGGGCGCACGCGTCGGTCAGTCGCGTCGCGCTTGTGGCCTGCGGGCGGTTGGCTGAGCTGTGCTTAGAGGCACAGAACAGGCAACCTGCGGCGGATACGGGCGCGATCGAGGCGATCGTGGCGGCGCTGCAGGCTCACCCGCAGGTGGTGGGTGTGCAGCAGAATGGCTGCGGGGCGATGGCCAACGTGTGCGTATCTATGCAGCGACGCCGCAGCGCTCGCACGTACGCAGCGCGCAGCAGACGCGGGCGCGATCGAGTTGGCTGTGGCGGCGCTGCAGGCGCACCCAGAGGTGGCGGGTGTGCAGGAGGAATGCTGCCGGGTAGTGGGCAGCGTGTGCTTTGGCACCGACGCCGCAGGAATCGCACGCAAACAGCGCGCAGCAGGCGCGGGCGCGATGGAGTTGGTG